ATTAACCCTTTCGTGTCTCCATTTCAGGAGCAACAGGAAGACCTTAAGAAGAGATGTGCGGCCGTAGAGCCCAGACATGGAGACAACTGGTGTAAGGTATCCAAAGATGTGGCCAATTGGAGGCTCAAAACAGAAGACATTTTAGAGAAAGCGGCCAATAGTTTACCCATTCCTACGTGAAAGGCATCCCATGTGAGCATAATATTGACAAATCATTACTGTATTCCCGTATTTGGCTATTTTGTTGGACTACACTATTCTGTAACTATTCCTTACAATAACTGTAATAAAAACATTGTATTCTAGATTCTCGAAAGTTTGAGTATAATGTTAGCATTATTATAATTAACTTGATTTAAATGATATCTGAATCACAACATGTCTTATCATTCATATCATAAATACTTGAAATAAAATGAAAACAACAATTGAATGAAAACTACAATTGAATCAAAACTACATTCAGTTACCATTGAATTCAATCTGATTGTGAGTTCATATTTGTATGGATTAGTCGTTGTTTGTGAACGAATGGACACAATGTTTGTTGTGTTGATTGCAGACAATGTCCGGAATCGCTGTCAACGAAGATCTTATTAATCAGTATTTAAGTGATGACTCACTTCTTAATATCTTTGAGTTGATCCCTATTTTGCAACTCTTTAAGTTGAGACTCGTTTGTAAACGATTTAAGCAATTGATTGATTATAAACTGAAACTTCGACGAAGTGTTGCGGTTACCATCAAATCAGATGATAATAGCGATAATGAGGAGGAATACGACTCACGAAGAGACTGTTCTGATGGCAGACATGAGTTGACGACAAATGACTGCATTTATAAGGCCTGTCGTGCCATACAAGACGGCTCAAGAACTTTGTATGTCTTAAGCGATGACCACTTGAAGCCATTGTTTGCCTTTTGTCCGAACATAAGAGCCCTGAGCCTCGAGTGGACACTCTTTGACCGCAATGTGTGGCAATACTTCCGCGACAATTGTCCCAAAGGTGTCCAACACTTAGACTTTTCCAACTCTCAGGGACTCATCGATGAAGTGATTCGCTTTATTGTCGACACTTGTGGTGATAGTCTGGAGCACATTGTCCTCCGAGACAGTGATATCAGTGAATCGACGCTCGCCTTCATGTTAGACAAGTGTCCGAAACTGGAGATTCTGGACGTCACCAAAAACGTGAGGATTAATGGCCACTGTTTTGGTGGTCTCAACAAATGCATCAAAAGTCTTGTTCTCAATGACTGCTGGAGTGTAGATGGAGATGGCATCCAATGCATGGTCTCTGGAAATGCTAAAAGTTTGCAAAGACTTGAAATAAGGGGTGAATTCATTGACAGCAAAATGTTGCAACAGATTTGCGATCATCTGATGGATTTGAAGCACTTAGAGATGGACTGTTCCAACGTTACAGACAAACGAGTTCTGCAAAGACTCTCTAACTTCAAATGTTTAGAACAATTGGATCTGTTTTTACCAGAATTTAATTTCGACTATATTTTGGTCGATATCTTGAGGAATAATAAGAAGTTAAAGAAGTTAAGCCTCGATGGCGCTATCGTTACTGACTATTCCATTAAATTATTGCCACAATTGTGTCCCCTTTTGGAGTCGCTTTCAATAACTTCAGCAGAAGTTGTGGTCAATAAGAAGATAACGGATGACTCGTGTGAATCACTCTCCAAATGCAAGAATTTACAAGAATTGAATTTAGAATACACTAGAATTGGAGATAATGTCATGCAAGTAGTGACACAATGTCCGCAAATATCAACCATTGAAATGAATGGTTGCAAACGTGTGACCAATAAATTGGTTGATTGTATGGTCGAAGTGGCCAAACAGAGACCACTAAACTCTTTGACACTCATTGCACGCGAATCCAAGTTAACCGAACCTCAGGCAGAATTGCCCCACAATTTGCAGCTTATATTTAATTAACTGTCAAATCATACAAGTTTCACATTCATATAAATATTGTATCACTTTAATGTTTATGACTTACAGTACCGGTATATTAAGTTACCGTATATCATACCTACATTTAATTCACACATTATTTTACCCGTACAAAAAATGTAACAACATTGTTTTCAATGTAATGATTATTTTTGTAAATTTAATTGTCTGCTAAAATTTTTATTTTAATATTTAAATTATATTTACCCCTACTAATACAAATAAAATGTTTTACATTGCTGAATAAAGTACAGTATTTTGTACTTGTTATTTTGTATTTGTTTTACATTTAATTTTATAATAAATTATTTTTTAAATAGCATATAATTTACATTGGAGATAATATACATTGGTGTATTTTTGGTCTACAGTGTAGGCACAACCTTATTAGGTCTATGAAGTTTGGAAACATATTTTTCATTTAAAAAAGTTATTTTAGAGAATATCCGTTGGAATGGACTGTTATTATACAGTGGTGTGATTGTCATATAATACCTGTATTCAGGTATCTCTAACCACAATAACAAGTTTGCATTGAATTCATTGAATTGATGTCTAAATAAAGTGAATTGAAAACTACTTTTTATGAATCCAATCAATGAATTGCTAAAAATAATCAAAAATAAACTTTCAATTACTATGAAAGGAAATTTAAGCGTAGAGAGCGTAGGGAGGTATAGGAGGTACTGTCGTGAGCACTGGGATGACAGTTAAGCTGTGAATGTATGGATGCATTGCATTGGGAGGAGAGGGAGGAAAGGGAGAGATGCGCGCCATTCGACCGTTTGCTGGCAATTATGGTTGTGTTGAGTCCAATGGGAGCCCATTATAGGCACAACTGGTGAACAAAAACCAAAAACAGTTGAATCCATAGACTGTTAGTCTGTTATACAGTCTCTAAGCCAGTGTTGGATCCGTTCATCCATTCATTGAAATCCATTTTCTTTGTCTCATCTCTTAATCATTTAATCATTGGATCTGATCTCATGTCTAACTAATCACTTCATTAGTTTGACATTAATTAAGAAAATCTCAACAAATTATCATCAATTGTCTCAAAGAGAGGTACGTTTGCGTGGATTGATGGGATCATTTAATCATTGGATCTGATCTCATGTCTAACTAATCACTTCATTAGTTTGACATTAATTAAGAAAATCTCAACAAATTATCATCAATTGTCTCAAAGAGAGGTACGTTTGCGTGGATTGATAGGTGAGGATCTCCTGTGAGATCAAAACAAACTATTGTTTGTCACCTAAACTGATCCATAAGTTTAAATGACCACTTGATTGATTCAAGTTATCAATTATATACCGTATTCAGTGTATGAATTGATTGGACTCAATGGCTACCAAAGCTGATCCCAAGAAAGACGAGTCGGTGACCACTTCTGACAAGAGAGAGGCGTCTCCTCCGAAACCATTGGATCCGTTGGATGAACAGCGCAGAAGAGCACGATTTGGATCACTGTTTTGTGTGGTATTCATCGCCGTCTTGTCGTTCATTATTCTGGACGACAAGTATCTGAATCTGAATATCGGCGGCAACTCATCGGCGGTTCAGATATCGTCGTATTGGCATAAACTGGAGTTCGTCCTCTGCTACCAGTCGATCGGCATTTCTTGGATCCTCTTCAACATGATTCTCGTCATCTCAAAGCGAATGCAAACAAAAGTCGTGGACCCGATTGACGCGAAGAACGAGAGGGCAGTGTTGGTGGCGTCGGCTATAATGCAGAACTCGATCGAGCAGTTCCTGCTGTCGGCCTTCGCGCAGATCATATCCATCAGTTTCATCGACAAAAGTCTTCTCATAAAAGTGATTCCTCTGATCAACATATTGTTCATCACCGGAAGAGTGGCCTTCTGGTGGGGTTACCCCAAGAACCGCACCTTCGGCTTCATGTGCTCCGCCATCCCCAACACTCTCCTCATTAACTATAATCTCCTGAAATTCATTCAAAGCCTCTTCTTCTAAGCCATTTAACCACACTTTCAATCAAACCATTCAATCACTCATTCATTCATTTCATTTCATTCGTTAGTATTTATATCCATAGCGTTTGATCTCTCATGAAATACATGTAATAATAGCCATACATTTCAAAGTATAGTGTAATTAAAGGCCAACAATAATCATGATTACACCCTCACTGTCTATACATCACATATACTGTAGTTATCATAACGAAATACATAACTCATTTGCATTAACCAAACGCAACAAAATGCATGAAATGCTTACAATCCATTACATTACTGTCTAATTCATAGTAAATCTCATAAAATAGTGATTTATATAAAACATATTTATATTTTCATGTAATATTTATAACAATTATTACAATAAGATTAATAAACTTGCTTTGTAGCTAAATTATATACAGTTTTTATATACAGAATTTGATTAACAGTAAATGGTACTTGAACATTACAGTAAAGTCTTATTTGTTTAGATGTGACTAAAAGATTACAAATATTTGAATGATTAATAAGAGATAAATGGTAGAAAAGTAGATGATTTCAGTGGAAGAAAGTTTGCCATTGAATCCACTTCTTGTGACTAAACCCAGAAAATTAAAAACCAGCGAAACTATTATCACGAGAATCGGGATAATTTGATCACTACTTGTCTTAAATGTCGGAATTATCACATCAATGGTTACACCAATTATGAAGAATATTATTAAAATAATGAACACAAGTGCGGGAATATATGTCATATTAAAAGCCAGTTGTGGCCAATTGATGAATCGTTTTTTCATTTCACTAATATTTTTCACACATTTTGTCAATTACTGAATACAGGTATTTACTGTACTGTACGGTACTATCACCATTCAAGTTGGCCACAAAATTATTCTGTTTATTAACATATTAAATGAAAATATCGTAATTACTTTGCATCCAAACAATTTAGAAATACCGGTAGAGTTATTAATACAAAATTGCAATTTTTTAATGAGTAAAACATAAGTCAAAAGCAAATATGTGTACAGTTTTGTTCGCAATTCTTATGCGAATATTTATTTAAAACTTAAGGCAATTCATTGATATGTAACCTAATATTATGGTATTAAATGTATATCAGATCATTAGTGAAGGTAACTATAGTTTTAAAAATAATATGAGTAAATATAACTTCTCACTGATTGTTAGAGTTTATCAGTTTCAATGTCTTATATAATATATTAATGCAAACAAAAACTCTTATCAAACCAAACAAAACAAATTAACAATTTAATCAAATTATTCCATAATAAATATAACTTCTCACTGATTGTTAGAGTTTATCAGTTTCAATGTCTTATATAATATATTAATGCAAACAAAAACTCTTATCAAACCAAACAAAACAAATTAACAATTTAATCAAATTATTCCATAGTTTACATCCAAATAAAATCAAATAATATTTAATTTAGAATACAACAAAATACTTGAAACTAATACTTTTGTAGGTTAGGTGTTAGGTGTTCACAAGTTATAAGAGATTCGGTTTATGCGGACATCCCTTACTCAACACCTCGACCTGTCCCTCACTATTGATTAGGAGGTCGTCCTCCACACGCATTCCAATGCCTTTGAACTCGGGTTTAATCATTGTATGACTTTTATGAAAGTAAAGACCCGGCTCTACTGTAAAGCAATGGCCAGGTTTGAGCCGTATATTCCTGGACACAGTCGGACAGTCGTGTATATCGAGTCCTGTATATTCATTTAAATGTGTAAATGTTAGTAAACTTTAGCCACATTTTGTTTGGAAATGAAATGAAATGAAAGGATATTAACCCAAATAGTGTGAGACGTGATGAGGGCAGAAGCGATAGGCCAGGGCTGCGGCCTCTTGTGTGGAGACCGATATGTTGAGGGCATTGAATTCGACCAAAACCTTGCCGAGTAAGTCACACATCAGTTTGAAGAGCTGGTCCAGTGTTAGCATTGGGTCCGCAGATAACGTAGAGATGAGCTCTGATTGCACTTCACAGAGAGCTTCGTAGAGATCACATCGACCAAAACCTTGCCGAGTAAGTCACACATCAGTTTGAAGAGCTGGTCCAGTGTTAGCATTGGGTCCGCAGATAACGTAGAGATGAGCTCTGATTGCACTTCACAGAGAGCTTCGTAGAGATCACTCCGGAGTCTATTGGCACCGAAGTTACCATTTATAGGCCACGTCCTCGTGATATCACTGTTATATCCGTCCACATCCTCACAGCCGGCGTCCATTAAAACCCAGTCATCGTTGGCACAGAACTGGTCGTTAGCGCCGTAATGAATGATTGTCGACCTTTGACCCGAACCGCAAACTGTAGGGAAAGCTATCTTTCGGGCGCCGCTAACACGCGATTCAAACTCAAATTTGGCCGCAATTTGTGACTCATTGATGAGACTGTTTCGTGACATCTGTTTCGTCCAAATCATGGTATTGAGTATGGCTTGAGAACCAATGTTACAAACTCTTCGCATAGCATTGCATTCGGCCTCTGATTTAATAGCTCTCAACTGATCCAAATATGGCGACACTTTATGGACGGCTGAGTTTGTGTTGAGATTCAAGTAATTACTCAAATGAGCGCTCAGTTTATCACAATTATCACTGTTGTTGCCATTCGTGTGGTTTAGTCCCGATTTGGAGACGAAGAGCTGTCGGGACGGCGTTTGCGATGCAATCAATTCATTCAAATGAGACAAATCTCGCAATTCATCGCAAATACTGTGGTCTCTGGTCTCTGGTCTCAGGCAATGGTCTCTCATATCATTTCCATCCCATAACTGTTGGACAGAGTTTTCAAAGGGCGCGAAGAGTATGGACTGAAGCGGTTCTCCGTCACCACCGATGAGTGCGAGGACACAATCGGACGACTGATTGCTCGCAAATCCCGTCAAATATATAAAGTCTGAGTTCTGCTTGAATTGCGAGGAAGGGATCCGCGTGTCGGCCAGATATTGACGACTGGATCCGCTGATGAGGATTAGGTT